GGAGACGCGTTCTGTCTCCTAGAGATGAACGTACTTTGGTGCGAAAAGTGCAAATCAATCCCAGAACAACAGCAAAGGACCTTGTGAAGATGCTGGAGAAAACAGGTACAAAAGTATCTATATCCACATATCGACATATCGACACGAGTCCTATATCGACATAACCTGAAAGGCCGCACAGCAAGGAAGAAGCCCCTGCTCCAAAACCGCCATACAAAAGCCAGACTACGGTTTGCAATTGCACATAGGGACAAAGATCTTACTTTTTGGAGAAATGTCCTCTGGTCTGATGAAACAAAAATGTAACTGTTTGGCCATAATGACCAACGTTATGTTTGGAGGAAAAAGGGGTAGGCTTGCAAGCCGAAGAACATCATCCCAACCGTGAAGCACGGGGGTAGCAACATCATGCTGTGGGGGTGCTTTGCTGCAGGAGGGACTGGTGCACTTCACAAAATAGATGGCATCATGAGGAAGGAAAATTATGTGGATATATTGAAGCAACATCTCAAGACATTAGTCAGGAAGTTAAAGCTTGGTCACAAATGGGTCTTCCAAATGGACAATGACCCCAAGCGTACTTCCAAAGTTGTGGCAAAATGGCTTAAGGACAACAAAGTCAAGGTATTGGCGTGGCCATCACAAAGCCCTGACCACCTTTCCTATAGAAAATGTGTGGGCAGAACTGAAAAAGCATGTGCGAGCAAGGAGGCCTGCAGTTACACCAGCTCTGTCAGGAGGAATGGGCCAAAATTCACCCAACTTATTGTGGGAAACTTGTGGAAGGCTACCCGAAACGTTTGACCCAGGTTAAACAATTTAAAGGCAATGCTACCAAATATCAAATCAAATCAAATTTTATTTGCCACATGCGACGAATACAACAGGTGTAGACATTACAGTTTTAAGTGTTAAGTAAAAAGAATAAAAGCAAATAACTTGAGAGCAGCAGTAAAATAAAATAACAGTAGGGAGGCTATATACAGGGGGGTACCGATGCAGAGTCAATGTGGGGAGGCACCGGCTAGTCAAGGTAGTTGAAGTAATATGTACATGTGGGTAGAGTTAAAGTGACTATGCATAAATAATAGACAGAGTAGCAGCAGCGTAAAAAAGGGGGGGGGGGGGGGGGGGGGGGGGGGGGGGAGGGGCAGTGCAAATAGTCCGGGTAGCCATGATTAGCTGTTCAGGAGTCTTATGGCTTGGGGGTAGAAGCTGTTGAGATGCCTTTTGGACCTAGACTTGGCGCTACGGTACCGCTTGCCGTGCGGTAGCAGAGAGAACAGTCTATGACTAGGGTGGCTGGAGTAATTGGCAATTTTTAGGGCCTTCCTCTGACACCGCCTGGTATAGAGGTCCTGGATGGCAGGAAGCTTGGCCCCAGTGATGTACTGGGCCGTACGCACTACCCTCTGTAGTGCCTTGCGGTCGGAGGCCGAGCAGTTGCCATACCAGGCGGTGATGCAACCAGTCAGGATGCTCTCGATGGTGCAGCTGTATACCTTTTTGAGGATCTGAGGACCCATGCCAAATCTTTTCAGTCTCATGAGGGGGAATAGGCTTTGTCGTGCCCTCTTCACGACTGTCTTGGTGTGTTTGGACCATGATAGTTTGTTGGTGATGTGGACACCAAGGAACTTGAAGCTCTCAACCTGTTCCACTACAGCCCCGTCAATGAGAATGGGGGTGTGCTCAGTCCTCTTTTTTTTCCTGTAGTCCACAATCATCTCCTTTGTCTTGATCACATTGAGGGAGAGGTTGTTATCCTGGCACCACACGGCCAGGTCTCGGACCTCCTCCCTATAGGCTGTCTCATCGTTGTCGGTGATCAGGCCTACCACTGTTGTGTCGTCAGCAAACTTAATGATGGTGTTGGAGTCGTGCCTGGCCATGCAGTCATGGGTGAACAGGGAGTACAGGAGGGGACTGAGCACGCACCCCTGAGGGGCCCCCGTGTTGAGGATCAGCGTGGCAGATGTGTTGTTACCTACCTACCTATACTAATTGAGTGTATGTAAACTTCTGACCCACTGGGAATGTGATGAAAGAAATAAAAGCTGAAATAATTAATTCTCTCTACTATTATTCTGACATTTCACATTCTTAAAATAAAGTGGTGATCCTAACTGACCTAAGACATGGAATGTTTTACTAGGATTAAATGTCAGGAATTGTGAAAAACTGAGTTTAAATGTATTTGGCTAAGGTGTACGTAAACTTCCGACTTCAACTGTATATTGAAAACAACAGTATCAACATATACCAGTTTTTAGTAGTCAATTGGCAAGAAGGCATCTTGTGTGTAACTGCATGCATATTTCAGCCAATGCACAATCTGGACACAAACACGTTGGCTTCACTGTCTAGTTGGTTGCTCTGCTGTCAGTGAAGGCCCATCTGTTAGACCAAACAATGTGGCTTGTTTAGTGAAGACCTGGAATGCAGCCTGTTTTCATGACTACAACTCCAACAATAGGCTGAGTCATAACTCCGTGCCAGAACCCTGCGCTACATTCCACAGCAAATGTGGGTAAATATCTCCTGATAGTCTGTGTCTGACCAGGCAGAGGTGTCTGTACGTGTCCCAAATGGCACCCTATTCCCTGTGTAGTGCACTACTTCTGACTGGGGAGTACACTACTTCAAACCAGATCCCTGCTCAAAAGTAGTGCACTATATAGGGAACATGTTGCCATTTGGGCCTGTCTGTGAATAGAATCACATCACTTTTCACAGACAGATACAGCAGTTGGAGAATGCTGTAAGGCCTTTACACAGAGAATATCCAGGCAGCAGGCATCAATGATTACAGGAGAGCAGCAATGATTACAGGAGAGCAGCAATGATTACAGGAGAGCAGCAATGATTACAGGAGAGCAGCAATGATTACAGGAGAGCAGCAATGATTACAGGAGAGCAGCAATGATTACAGGAGAGCAGCAATGATTACAGGAGAGCAGCAATGATTACAGGAGAGCAGCAATGATTACAGGAGAGCAGCAATGATTACAGGAGAGCAGCAATGATTACAGGAGAGCAGCAATGACTACAGGAGAGCAGCAATGATTACAGGAGAGCAGCAATGATTACAGGAGAGCAGCAATGACTACATGAGAGCAGCAATGATTACAGGAGAGCAGCAATGACTACATGAGAGCAGCAATGATTACATAAATCAAGAGGTACATTGACTTGTTGCTGCATTTCAATGGCAGACAACAACCTACAGCTCCTAGAGATGTGTTCCATGCTCCAAAACAGTGGACACTATTGTGATGCATAGACTTGTTATTGATCACATTAGATTAGACCACTAGGCCTATGAGCCGATCCCAGTAAAGCGATCCTGATGGTAACGTAGACCACTAGGCCTATGAGCCGATCCCAGTAAAGCGATCCTGATGGTAACCAGTTTTCCCTTCACGGACACGGCTCCTGCGCGCTCAGCCTGATCCGACCTCTCGCTCCCGAAATCCGTCGCAGACAGTAAAAAGCGATCCCATGCATAGGCTACTCAAATGATAGCCCATCATCTCAGAGTACTCCATGTGTTTTTTACCCGGAAGATAATCCCACATTATAAATACTGAATATAGATTATCCTAAAGTAGGCTCTTGATGAGCGAGCGCACCAAAGAAGCGCTGGTTGGTTGACATGAATTCCAAGTAATACAACGGACCTGAACAATGGAAGTAGCCTAATATCTGTGAAAGATTAACAAACACTTATAATAAGGTTCTTAGGCTATTAATGTGGCAGACTATGTAACAACTTTTGTAAAGAAGTCCATACACAAATAACTAGTCCACGAAGCGTAAATCGGAGTGCAGAACATTGTTTCATGCGCATAGAAATATATTTTCTTAAACGCGTGCGCATGACTACATGCTTTATGCTCGGAATCCATTCGTGTTGACACTAATAAATACAAAACAGAACGACACATATTGTCCTAACATGTCATTGTTCCAATACACGTTGTGATATGTTTACAAACATCATATAAAATCACAATAGCTATTCCATTATTCCACTCAATTTGTTGTTATTTATCTCCTTGCTTGAATGCAACCATTGCATGCAAGCAAATACGTTATTTTTTTGGGAAAATAATATAGAATTGTAAAGATTACTTACGATTTGAGAGGATTCTGAATGACAGTCGCCATTTTGCTGCGAAACTGTAACCCAAATATTGTAAATCTCGGAGCTGTTTGGGACCCTATGAAGAAAACAACCAATAAGGTCCTAGGCGCCCGCTCCTTAACCAATACAATAATAGTATCCAGAGATCGGGCGTGGCTTATGAGAAAACTGTCAAAAGCGTTTCATAAAGACGATGAGCTTCATACAGTAGCTACAGTACAACTTTATATTAATCTCTGATGTTGCACGCAATTTGCAAATCATTACAGTGCCTAGTCAATATAAATCCATTGCACAGTGTGGGTATATCCCCCGGTATATGAAACAGATATTCCAAGGAGTGGCTGCATTTTCTAGCAGGGAAAAAGAAAAACATGGCCAGTTGTCCTACTGTGTTCCTGTCGCAAACAGACCATCTTTTTTTTTTTTTCTCAGGATATGGAGACTCTTCTTCCTTCAGTAGGCATTTAGCAAAGAAATAGAATGGTATTAGAAAAAGATCATATGCAGTAGTGCAGTAAAATACAATAAAACGGGGCAGATTTTAATAGATTAATATTATAGAAGCATTAATCAAACATGAAGGTTTGTTTACACAAGAAATTCAAACAAAGCAATGGCTGATGCTCTATCCATAATCTAAACAAATCACAACTACTGTATCACTACAGACATCAAAGTCATCTCTTCCTCCCTCTGATACAATATTACAATGTTTCATTCATGAGAACGATGATAAAAGTTACATATCGTTAGAGGAAACGATAGTGATTGATAGCACAAGCAGCCAATCGTGAAACGAAAAGTGGGCCACTATTGTGAGCGATAACCCAATGAGGGTTAGGGGGCGGGTGTTAAATTGGTCACATGGATGCAACGTTGTAGCAGGTACAGGAACTTTGTGTTAAGCTCCTATGTTCAATAATATATTTGATCAACATGGTGTCCTCTTATTACTACACGAATAACACCATTTCATTTTAAATATGATAATGATTTATCATTCAAATTGTCTACGTACCACATGTCTGTATTTATTGGGCTTTTGTTAGCAAGCGAAATGGCTAGCCGAATTAGCTAACTTGCTAGCTAGGTACAAAGTAAACAACACAGAAGCGAGTGACATACTTCATGTTGATGTTTACTCTCCGGTATTTGTGTCCATAGCAATAGCAGGGATGAAGAAAGGGAATTGGCGTGACAGGGACCGAAGGCGACACGGTTACCGCTCTGACTGGCAAAGGGACAGAACACAGGAACAAAGGTAGGATGGTGATCATGATGACAATGGCTCTCACGACCGCAGGTTGGTTGGCCCAAATTATGTGTAAACTACCTAGCCTTATTTACAAGGCAAACAAAATGGAGTTCGTTTACTTGATCTATCAAATGCTGAGGGAGTTCTTGGGCCATGAATCTTCATTCAGTACATTTTATATGATCTGAATGAAATGTATTCCTAAACTCTGTTATAATCCTGCCACTGTGTGTTTGTATTAACTGTGTAATGGTGGCACTGTGCGTCTCCTCTCTGGACCCCAGGTATGGCAGCAGTGAAGCGGGCCCCTCCTACAGAGACAGGACCCCAGAGAGTAGGCCTAGTCCAGCTGCTGCAGCCTCATCCTCCTCCAGCTCTTCTGCTCCAGGTGAGTAACACTAAGACACACACCTTTCTACACGGCTATAGAATGACTACTTATGAATCAGTGCAGTCCTAAGTGCGTCACTTTTATTTTCTTTTGAAGTAATCACAACACACACCCAACAATACAGACTCAATGTCCTTTTTTTTTTCTTCTGTCCTGTCCATGTGTACCTTGGTCCTTCCATCTCCAGAGCTGCCAGGGTTCTACTTTGACGCCGAGAAGAACCGTTACTTTCGGCTGCTGCCGGGCCACAACAACTGCAACCCTCTGACCAGAGGGCTGCTGCAGGAGAGGGAGCAGGAGAAACACAGGGCCAGGATGATCACTGAGGACGAGAGGCCCAGGAAGGTACTACCACAGAGGGGGCGTTTGGTACCCTGTTGATGGTAGATCAGGGGCGTTTGGTACCCTGTTGATGGTGGATCAGGGGCCGTTTGGTACCCTGTTGATGGTGGATCAGGGGCCGTTTGGTACCCTGTTGATGGTGGATCAGGGGCGTTTGGTACCCTGTTGATGGTAGATCAGGGGCGTTTGGTACCCTGTTGATGGTAGATCAGGGGCGTTTGGTACCCTGTTGATGGTGGATCAGGGGCGTTTGGTACCCTGTTGATGGTGGATCAGGGGCGTTTGGTACCCTGTTGATGGTAGATCAGGGGCGTTTGTTACCCTGTTGATGGTAGATCAGGGGCGTTTGGTACCCTGTTGATGGTGGATCAGGGGGGCGTTTGGTACCCTGTTGATGGTGGATCAGGGGCCGTTTGGTACCCTGTTGATGGTGGATCAGGGGCCGTTTGGTACCCTGTTGATGGTGGATCAGGGGCCGTTTGGTACCCTGTTGATGGTGGATCAGGGGCGTTTGGTACCCTGTTGATGGTGGATCAGGGGCGTTTTGTACCCTGTTGATGGTGGATCAGGGGCGTTTGGTACCCTGTTGAATTTAAAATGTATTGTAATTTGTATCTTACAGCCGTTTGATGCCGTCTCTCCTTCCCAAATTGAAAAAGACAGCAGCTCTGAAGGGTTTTCTAGTTTGTATGTGTTGTTTCTCCCTCCAGAAAGCACCAAGAGCAGGCCTGAACTCAGCTCTGCTGCTGCAGAAAAGACACCTGGGTCTGCTGCCTGGGGTCTCGTACTGTAGGTACTGTATCAAAAGGACACACACACACACACACACACATATACACACACACACACACACACACACACACACACACACACACACACATACGCTATTGTGTACCTTATGATTGTGTGTGTCTGTGTGTGTATGTGTGTATGTGTGTATGTGTGTATGTGTGTGATTGTGTGATTGTGTGTGTGTGTGTGCCCAGGCGGATCCATGAGGTGAAGGTGAGTGGGATGAGACGTCACAGACTGGAGGTCCAGAGCTCTGACAGCAGCAGTCCCAACACAGACAACTTCAGACTCATAGTGGTGAGTTACACACACACACACACACATGCTCTCTAGTGACTTTTAAGCAAAACGTTGGCAATGATAGACTGGTGTAAACTTCCTCCTAATTGTCCTATTTTTTCCCCTCTTCCTCCTCTCCTCACTTTCTCTTCCTCCTCCCCTCTCTTCCTCCTACCCTCTCTTCTTCCTCCTCTCTCTCAGGGTGACTCTGCGTGTGAGCGAGTGTTCACGGTTAACGACGTGTCTCACGGAGGCTGCAAGTATGGCATCATGAACTTCAGAGGCTGCAGCAGGGGCTCCCTGTCTGTTGAGATGTGTGACAACCTCTACTTTACAAATAGAAAGGTGAGGGAAGGAAGGAAGATATAGGGCTGAGGAAAACCACTACTTTACCAACAGAAAGGTGAGATAGAGGGAAGGCTAGGGGCTGGGGAGAGAGGACTGGGGAGGAAGGCTAGGGGCTGGGGAGAGAGGACTGGGGAGGAAGGCTAGGGGCTGGGGAGAGAGGACTGGGGAGGAAGGCTAGGGGCTGGGGAGAGAGGACTGGGGAGGAAGGCTAGGGGCTGGGGAGGAAGGCTAGGGGCTGGGGAGAGAGGACTGGGGAGGAAGGCTAGGGGCTGGGGAGAGAGGACTGGGGAGGAAGGCTAGGGGCTGGGGAGAGAGGACTGGGGAGGAAGGCTAGGGACTGGGGAGAGAGGACTGGGGAGGAAGGCTAGGGGCTGGGGAGAGAGGACTGGGGAGGAAGGCTAGGGGCTGGGGAGAGAGGACTGGGGAGGAAGGCTAGGGGCTGGGGAGAGAGGACTGGGGAGGAAGGCTAGGGGCTGGGGAGAGAGGACTGGGGAGGAAGGCTAGTTTGGGAGTTGGGCATTAGAAGCATGCTGGATGGTATGAATATCTACCCAGGCAACTTGAACACCTATTCTGACACTAATCTATGTTGTCCCTGTTTTCTACCTGTTCTGTACCTGTGTTATATACACTGCTCAAAAAAAGAAAGGGAACACTAAAACAACACATCCTAGATCTGAATGAATGAAATAATCTTATTAAATACTTTTTTCTTTACATAGTTGAATGTGCTGACAACAAAATCACACAAAAATTATCAATGGAAATCAAATTTATCAACCCATGGAGGTCTGGATTTGGAGTCACCCTCAAAATTAAAGTGGAAAACCACACTACAGGCTGATTCAACTTTGATGTAATGTCCTTAAAACAAGTCAAAATGAGGCTCAGTAGTGTGTGTGGCCTCCACGTGCCTGTATGACCTCCCTACAACGCCTGGGCATGCTCCTGATGAGGTGGCGGATGGTCTCCTGAGGGATCTCCTCCCAGACCTGGACTAAAGCCAACTCCTGGACAGTCTGTGGTGCAACGTGGCGTTGGTGGATGGAGCGAGACATGATGTCCCAGATGTGCTCAATTGGATTCAGGTCTGGGGAACGGGCGGGCCAGTCCATAGCATCAATGCCTTCCCCTTGCAGGAACTGCTGACACACTCCAGCCACATGAGGTCTAGCATTGTCTTGCATTAGGAGGAACCCAGGGCCAACCGCACCAGCATATGGTCTCACAAGGGGTCTGAGGATCTCATCTCGGTACCTAATGGCAGTCAGGCTACCTCTGGCGAGCACATGGAGGGCTGTGCGGCCCCCCAAAGAAATGCCACCCCACACCATGACTGACCCACCGCCAAACCGGTCATGCTGGAGGATGTTGCAGGCAGCAGAACGTTCTCCACGGCGTCTCCAGACTCTGTCACGTCTGTCACGTGCTCAGTGTGAACCTGCTTTCATCTGTGAAGAGCACAGGGTGCCAGTGGCGAATTTGCCAATCTTGGTGTTCTCTGGCAAATGCCAAACGTCCTGCACGGTGTTGGGCTGTAAGCACAACCCCCACCTGTGGACGTCGGGCCCTCATACCACCCTCATGGAGTCTGTTTCTGACCGTTTGAGCAGACACATGCACATTTGTGGCCTGCTGGAGGTCATTTTGCAGGGCTCTGGCAGTGCTCCTCCTGCTCCTCCTTGCACAAAGGCGGAGGTAGCAGTCCTGCTGCTGGGTTGTTGCCCTCCTACGGCCTCCTCCATGTCTCCTGATGTACTGGCCTGTCTCCTGGTAGCGCCTCCATGCTCTGGACACTACGCTGACAGACACAGCAAACCTTCTTGCCACAGCTCGCATTGATGTGCCATCCTGGATGAGCTGCACTACCTAAGCCACTTGTGTGGGTTGTAGACTCCGTCTCATGCTACCACTAGAGTGAAAGCACCGCCAGCATTCAAAAGTGACCAAAACATCAGCCAGGAAGCATAGGAACTGAGAAGTGGTCTGTGGTCACCACCTGCAAAACCAGTCCTTTATTGGGGGTGTCTTGCTAATTGCCTATAATTTCCACCTGTTGTCTATTCCATTTTCACAACAGCATGTGAAATGTATTGTCAATCAGTGTTGCTTCCTAAGTGGACAGTTTGATTTCACAGAAGTGTGATTGACTTGGAGTTACATTGTGTTGTTTAAGTGTTCCCTTTATTTTCTTGAGCAGTGTATATACACACACACACACACACACACACACACACTACCGGTCAAAAGTTTATAGAACACCTACTCATTCAAGGGTTTTTCTTTATTTGTACTATTTTCTTCATTGTAGAATAATAGTTACACCTTAACACCTCCTCCTCCATGCTTCACGGTGGGAACCACACATGCGGAGATCATCCATTCACCTACTCTGCGTCTTACAAAGACACGGCGGTTGGAACCCAAAATCTCAAATTTGGACTCATCAGACCAAAGGACAGATTTCCACCAGTCTAATGTCCATTGCTCGTGTTTCTTGGCCCAATCAGGTCTCTTCTTCTTATTGGTGTCCTTTGGTAGTGGTTTCTTTGCAGCAATTCAACCATGAAGGCCTGATTCACGCATTTTCCTCTGAACAGTTGATGTTGAGATGTGTCTGTTACTTGAACTCTATGAAGCATTTATTTGGGCTGCAATTTGAGGTGCAGTTAACTCTAATTAACTTATCCTCTGCAGCAGAGGTGACTCTGGGTCTTCCTTTCCTGTGGTGGTCCGCATGAGGGCCAGTTTCATCATAGCGCTTGATGGTTTTTGCGACTGCACTTGAAGAAACTTTCAAAGTTCTTGACATGTTCCGTATTGACTGACCTTCATGTCTTAAAGTAATGATGAACTGTCGTTTCTCTTTGCTTATTTGAGCTGTATTTTTGGACTTGGTCTTTTACAAAATAGGACTATCTTCTGTATATCCCCCCTACTTTGTCACAACACAACTGATTGTCTCAAACGCATTAAGAAGGAAATAAATTCCACAAATTAACTTTTAACAAGGCACACCTGTTAATTTAAATGCATTCCAGGTGACTACCTCATGAAGCTGGTTGAGAGAATGCCAAGAGTGTGCAAAGCGGTCATCAAGGCAAAGGGTGGCTACTTTGAAGAATATAACATATATTTTGATTTGTTTAACACTTTTTTGGTTACTACATGATTCCATATGTGTTATTTCATAGTTTTGATTTCTTCACTCTTATTCTACAATGTAAAACATAGTAAAAAATAAAGAAAAACCCTGGAATGAGTAGGTGTGTCCAAACTTTTGACCGGTACTGTGTATATATATGAATGTTTTCTGTGTGTTTCAGGTGAACTCTATCTGCTGGGCCTCCGTCACCCACCCTGACTCACACGTCCTGTATCCTTCATACACAATGCAGTTAAGACTGGGATGCTACACAATGTGCTTTATGACCCTGCACCCCATAGCGGATGCATCCGGTTTACAGGAGATACAGCTCATTCAACCAAGCTTCCTTCTCCACTGAAAACCAGGCGTGGGAACTCCGCTCAGGCGTTTATTTTTTTACGCCTGTTACGTTAGGGTTAATGACCCTGTCTAGTCACTGTAGTTTGTCCCACGGGGTCAAAGGTCTCAGCATGTTGGTGTTCAGACCGTTGTCAGTACCTGTGCTTAGAGTGGTGTTGGGTTAGTGTTTCCTTGACTCCAGTGTTCAGCCTGTGTCTGGTGGGCATGGCAGAGACTCCTGGCTGTGTCAGTTTACTACCAGCTTCTCTCTTCAGCAACTCCAACCCAGGTAACCGTTTTCATATACTTCTCTCAGAACATGCTTTCCTTTTTCCATGACATTTTACTGTAAAATATAATGCCCATATATTTAATGTTGAGCACATTTGTTATTTTTTCCCTCTCCCCCCCTCCTCCTCCTCCCTCTCCTCCTCCCTCTTCTCCTCCTCCCTCTTCCCCCCCTCCTCTCTTCTCCCCATCCCCATCCTCCTTCTCTCTCCTCCCCTTCCTCTCTCCTCCACCCTCTTCCCCCCCTCCTCTCTCCTCCCTCTTCCCCCCCTCCTCTCTCCTCCCTCTTCCCCCCCTCCTCTCTCCTCCCCATCCCCCTCTCTCCTCCCCATCCCCCTCCTCCTTCTCTCTCCTCCACCACCTCCTCTCCAGACCAACCGGGGATGCTGTGTAGTTTTAAGATATCTACAGCCTGGTCCTGTGCCTGGTGTCTCAACCCTCAGGCTGACAAAACCTTCAGCACTGGTTAGTTTGATGCCTACCATAATCTTTTACCAATGTATTAGCATTTTACACTCTGTAATGTTAGTACTACTGTAGCAAGCAACACCTTCCAGTTGACCATTTTATACAATGTTCCCACATGAAACATCTCACTGAAACTTGCCTGTTCATGTTTCAATATTAATAACAACAGATCATTTTATGACGATGACATTCTGTTCTTCTTCGTACTGTTCCTTTTATACACATGTATAGAACAGTAGTTACAGGTTAAATGTCTTTTCTCTTTACATAGAACTTACAGTGCATTCGGAAAGTATTCAGACCCCTTCTCCACATTTTGTTACATTACAGCCTTATTCTAAAATGGATTTAAAAAATAATAATTATCATCAATCTAAACATAATACCCCATAATGACAAAGTGAAAACAGGTTATAGACATTTTTGCAAATTTATTAAGTATTCAGACCCTTTGCTATGAGACTCGAAATTGAGCTCAGGTGCGTCCTGTTTCCATTGGTCATCCTTGAGATGTTTCTACAACTTGATTGGAGTCCACATGTATTATACTCAATTGTTTGGACATGATTTGGTAAGGCACACACCCACAGTTGACAGTGCATGTCAGAGCAAAAACCAAGCCATGAGATGGAAGGAATTGTCGGTAGAGCTCCGAGACAGGTTTGTGTCAAGGAACAGATCTGGGGAAGGGTACCAAAACATTTCTGCAGCATTGAAGGTCCCCAAGAACACAGTGTCCTCCATCGTTCTTAAATGGAAGAAGGTTGGAACCACCAAGACTCTTCCTAGAGCTGGCTGTCCGGCCAAACTGAGCAATCGGGGGAGAAGGGCCTTGGTCAGGGAGGTGACCAAGAACCCGATGGTCACCCTGACAGAGCTCCATAGAACCTTCCAGAAGCCCAACCATCTCTGCAGCACTCCACCAATCAGGCCTTTATGGTAGAATGGCCAGACGGAAGCCACTCCTCAGTAAAAGGCACGACAGCCCGCTTGGAGTTTGCCAAAAGGCACCTAAAGGACTCTCAGACCATGAGAAACAAGATTCTCTGGTCTGATGAAACCAAGATTGAACTATTTGGCCTCTGAATACCAAGCGTCACGTCTGGAGGAAACCTTGCACCATCCCTACGGTGAAGCATGGTGCTGGCAGCATCTTGCTGTGGGGATGTTTTCCAGCGGCAGGGACTGGGAGACTAGTCAGGATCGAGGCAAAGATGAACGGAGCAAAGTACAGAGAGATCATTGATGAAAACCTGCTCCCGAGTGCTCAGGACCTCAGACTGGGGCGAAGGTTCACCTTCCAACAGGACAACGACCCTAAGCACACAGCCAAGACAACGCAGGGGTGGCTTCAAGACAAGTGTCTGAATGTCCTTGAGTGGCCCAGCCAGAGCCCGGACTTGAACCCGATCGAACATCTCTGGAGAGACCTGAAAACAGCTGTGTAGCGACGCTCCCCATCCAACCTGACAGAGTTTGAGAGGATCTGCAGAGAAGAATGGGAGAAACTCCCCAAATACAGGTGTGCCAAGCTTGTAGCGTCATACCCAAGAAGACTCGAGGCTGTAATCGCTGTCAAAGGTGCTTCAACAAAGTACTGAGTAAAGGGTCTGAATACTTATGTAAATGTCATATTTCAGTTTTAAATTTTTTATAAATTTGCAAACATTTCTAAAAACCTGTTTTTGCTTTGTCATTATGGGGTATTGTGTGTAGCTGTAACGTAACAAAATGTGTGAAAAGTCAAGGGGTCTGAATACTTTCCGAATGCACTGTATACACTGGTCTGGTGGCCATTTTGAAAAGCACCATTTGAGTGACTGTTTCCCGTTCTGTCTCCTGTGGTCTTTTCCCTGTCTGTCTGTCTGTTGTCAGGTCTGTCTCGCAGGGTGATAGTGACGGACGCAGTGACGGGCAGGAGACAGACGTATGGCATCGGCAGTGATGTGCTGGCACAGCAGTTTGCCCTCAGGGTGAGTTAGTGGCGCCATGGCACAACAGAGACATGGCATTCACTTTTAGATTCATTGTCACAAAAACTGTAACTAAAACTGGTGAGAAGCTGATAATTTTTAAGTGTGTGTCTGTGCGTGGGTGTGTGTGTGAGAGAGATGAACAGATTGAGGGGCGCTTCTCAAACTTCTTTATTATTGACCTTCAGAGTTTTTAACATGCCCTTTTCTCCCTCCCCCTCTCTCTCCCCCCTCCCCATTCCTCCCCCTCTCCCCCATTCCTCCCTCCCCATTCCCCTCCCACGCCCCCCTCCATTCCCCTCCCACGCCCCCCTCCATTCCCCTCCCACGCCCCCCTCCATTCCCCTCCCACGCCCCCCTCCATTCCCCTCCCACGCCCCCCTCCATTCCCCTCTCCCCTCCCCCCTCCCCCTCTCCCTCCTCCCCCTCTCCCTCCTCCTCCATTCCCCTCTCCCCCCTCTCCTTCCCCCTCCTCTCCCTCTCCTTCCCCCTCCCCTCTCCCCCCCTCCCCCCTCTCCCTCTCTCCCCCTCCCTCTCCCTCTCCCTCCCTCCCCCTCCCTCCCCCTCCCTCTCCCCCTCTCCCCTCCCTCTCCCCCTCCCCTCCCCCTCCCCCCTCTCACCTCCCCTACCTCCACGACATCTTCCTCTCCCTCTCAGGGCGATCCGGACCACACTAAGCTGTAGGTCAGGAAATCTCTACACCTCGTACAAGAGACAGACGACCACAACACCTAACCTGCAGGTCTACTACAGACCTGACACACAACACTCCGTACGAAACACAGGATACACACACACACGCACGACATGAGACACACAACCACACACACTGGGACAGGTCACACACACACCACACCACACACCACACAACACACACACACACACACACTGGACAGGTCACACACACACACACACCACACTACATCACACACACACACACACACCACACACACACACACAACACACACACACACACACTGGGACAGGTCCACACACACACACACACCACTGACAGTCACACACACAACCACTGGACAGTCACACACACACACACACACACACACCCACACACCCACTGGGACAGGTCAAACACACACTGGGACAGGTCACACACAACACTGGGACAGGTCAAACACACTGGGACAGGTCACACACACTGGGACAGGTCACACACACTGGGACAGGTCACACACACGGGACAGGTCACACACACACACACACACACACACACACACACACACACACACACAACACACTGGGACAGGTCACACACACACACACACACACACACTGGGACAGGTCACACACACACACTGGGACAGGTCAAACACACTGGGACAGGTCACACACACACACACACACACACGGACAGGTCACACACACTGAGACAGGTCACACACACACACACACGGACAGGTCACACACACTGGGACAGGTCACACACACTGGGACAGGTCACATACACACTGGGACAGGTCACACACACACACTGGGACAGGTCACACACACACACACACACACACACACACACTGGGACAGGTCACACACACACACTGGGACAGGTCACACACACATATACTGGGACAGGTCACACACACAAGTGTGGTAAAGTTAAGCCTTATCCGACTCTGTTTTACCTGTGTGTTGATATGTGTCTCACTGCAGATCAAGCTGTGGGATGTTCGAGTAACAAAACCAGTGCAGAAGTACGAGGGCCATCATAATGAACACGCCTACTTACCCCTCCACATCAATGAACCTGAGGGACTGCTGATGGCTGGTAGGTTACAGGACCTTACTGCTGATGGCTGGTAGGTTACAGGACCTTACTGCTGATGGCTGGTAGGTTACAGGACCTTACTGCTGATGGCCGGTAGGTTACAGGACCTTACTGCTGATGGCCGGTAGGTTACAGGACCTTACTGCTGATGGCCGGTAGGTTACAGGACCTTACTGCTGATGGCCGGTAGGTTACAGGACCTTACTGCTGATGGCCGGTAGGTTACAGGACCTTACTGCTGATGGTTGGTAGGTTACAGGACCTTACTGCTGATGGCCGGTAGGTTACAGGACCTTACTGCTGATGGCTGGTAGGTTACAGGACCTTACTGCTGATGGCCGGTAGGTTACAGGGCCTTACTGCTGACTGCTGGTAGGTTACAGGGCTTAACTTCTCTTCAAGAGGAATGAAAATTCAGGTTACTACTTTTTGATCACTTCAACTCAGTAATTATTCCAGGGAAGGGAATGCACTCACTTTAAGTCTCTCTGGATACGTGTAGAGAAGGCCACTCAACTTGTACTGCACTGACTCAGATGACACATGATTGGTCAAAAGAAATGGATAATAAAATGATAGTTGGAGCTCTATTGATAGATTTTAAGTGTAGCCTTTGATGTTATTGATCATACATTTTGATGAAGAAACTCACTTGCTATATGGCTTTACATCACCTGCCATCACATGGTTGGAGAGTTATTTATCCAATAGAACCCAGAGAGTGTTCTTTGATGGAAGCTTCTCTAACGGTGTCCCTCAGGGCAGTAGCCTTGGGCCGTTACGCTTCTCTTTGTTTTACAAATGATTTGCCACTGGTCTTACACAAAGCTAGAATGACTGTATGAGGAGGATTCCACACTCAACATGTCAGCACCCAAAGCCAATTAGCTCACTGAAATTCTAAATAAGGAGTTAGTCAGTGTCATAATGGGTGATTAATAATAAACTGGTCTTAAATACATCTAAAACTAAAAGCATTGTATTTGGTCAAGTGCAGCCAAGAAAGACCTAGCAAAGCTGCAGCATGCTCAAAACAGAGCAGCATGCCTTGCCCTTAACGCCACAAACAAAGCTAACTTCAACAACATGCATGCCAGTCTTTCCTGGTTGAGGGCTGACGAGAGATTAACTGCTTCTCTTCTAGTTTTTATGATACAGATTATTGTGATGATAAATTCCAGATTGCCTGCATAATCAAATAACATTCAGCTCAGACACCCATACATTCCCCACAAGACATGCCACCAGGGGTCTCTTCACAGTCCCGAAGTCCAAAACGAATTCACGGCAATGCACAGTATTATACAGATCCATGAAACTCCCTTCCATCTCCAAATAGTCAAGCAAACAGCAAAATGACCTTTTAGAAAACGGATTAAACAACATCTCGTGGAACAGCGGGCACTGTGAGGGGGCCCACACATTCGTTTTTAGTTGTATTGTTTGTGTATCGTATTTTAAATGTGTGTGACTGTCCTCGTCTATCAATGTTTTGTTACATGTCATGTTTTTTTTTTATATTTGTGGACTCCAGAAAAAGTAGCTGATGCTTCTGCAAAAGTTAACGAGGATCCAAATAAACATTTTTAAAAAGTGTCTGCTAAATGACTAAAATGTCCATGAAAGGAGGAAAGAAAAGTATCCAGACAATATCTTACCCTCTTCATTTATGTCTTCTCCAGTGGGTCAGGACTGCTACACCCGTCTGTGGTCTCTGGGGGACGGCAAGCTCCTGAGGACCATCCCATCTCCCCACCCTGCAGGGAAGGACCTGATCCCCAGCGTGGTCTTCTCCTCCCAGCTAGGAGGCAGCAGAGGCCTGCCTGGTCTCCTCATGGCTGTTAGGCACGATCTGTACTACTTCCCTTATAACAGTGACTACCAGGAGGGAGGAGGGGTTGTAGCAGAGGCAGCCTGCTAGGGGAGGGCTTGACTGAGGCAGCCTGCTAGGGGAGGGCTTGACTGAGGCAGCCTGCTAGGGGAGGGCTTGACTGAGGCAGCCTGCTAGGGGAAGGCTTGACTGAGGCAGCCTGCTAGGGGAGGGCTTGACTGAGGCAGCCAGCTAGGGGAAGGCTTGACTGAGGCAGCCTGCTAGGGGAGGGCTTGACTGAGGCAGCCTGCTAGGGGAGGGCTTGACTGGACCTTGGTTAAAAGGCCTCACTACTCTTCTGTTCCTGTTGACCATCGGTCTGAAAGAATTGGAAGAGGAGAAGGAAAATGGACAGGGAAAACCTTTCTTTGCAAAGTATCTGGAATAAAGGAGACTCTTACTGCCTAAAGTTACCAGCTTGGAGCTTCAAGTGGAGAGTTGGGTCTGACCGTAGACCTGCGAAGATGGACTGCTGGAACATGGATCCAGGACTCTTTGCTGTCAACTACTCTATTTGTCTAGTCTCTGCCAGTGAACCCTGAATTATGTCCACAGAAACTGCAATTCATGAACTGGCCAGTGAGTTTCTTTTTGAGAAGTGTCTTTTTTTTGTCTTTATAATAATGATTCATCCGAAACAGATTTGATAAATGATGTAACGTTTATATAATTCAAACAATGTATTTTATCCATGGTGATTGAATTGGTGTCTTGGAATTATAAAGAAATGCCATGGTTAAAGGGATGGATTGTCAGCAGACCTCCACATAACCAATCTGCTTTTTCTATGATCACACACACACACACACACACACACACTGAGGGTCTGCTTGTTCTATGACCACACACTTTGAGGTTGTGAAGTTTATTAAATAAGCATACATGTTACAGTAAACATAGTAATGGTATTGATCTTCAGTATTCTCTCCTGGTTTCCTTAAGCACTGTTCTATACGAGATGAATCATGATCCCTGTTCAAGATTCTAGAACTTAAAACTGTTCCAGTTTGTCTACAAGCTGATTCCACGGTTCCAGTCAGTTACTCTGCGCCTACTCCATACTTTTCAGCCTGGGTCCTAAATCTGTTTGTGCCGTTTTGCCGACTCCTATTGTCATTGTCCATATAGGAGTCGGCAAGACAGCACAAACGGGTCTGGGACCATGCTAGATAATTGCAGCTAGCTACTCCACAGCCTCGGGTGATGGTGTAATGGTTTATATGTGATAGTATATACTATGAACTGAATGTATAATGTTTCAGGGTCCAGCCCCAAATAGTGTTGATATCCTTTCATACTAGCTATTATGCACTGTGAGCCATTCACTATTTGAAAGCAACTCCCACCATAGCACTAGAATGGTTGTAATTCTGATCATTCTAATTCTATGGTTCCCACTTAGCAATCTATTTTACAGTCAGTCTGTCACTCAATAGCCCCATTTATACTTGGTTCTAACTTGCATCATTTGTCCTGAACTTGTCCACATTCTGATTGTGACCACATTTTTAGACGGGGTGTAGACAATCAAAAAAATACATTGTGATCAGATCATCCTGCCCACCTCCGGAGGTAGTCAAGACACATTGTGTCTGGATATCTCACAAGTGTAGGCAGATCTGGACAGAGACACCATTTCAATCATCATTATTCTACCCTTTAACATCATTGACAGGTGGCACCATTGACTGATTACATCAATATGTGTCTTACAATAAATAAATATTATATAGAAAGAATAGCTGTGAAATAATTTGCATAAAAAGGAAGGGACCAGGAAATTTGGTCACAATGTTACACATTTCTAGAAATGTGGACACAATCAGAATGTGGTCAAGATCATGACAAAGGACCCATGTTAGCACCAGGTATAAACGTGGCTTGAGATAGTCCTATTGTAGACTGTTTAAAAACAAAAACAGGCCATGTTATACAAAACAAATCACTTATTTCCCCCACTATAGTAAACTTCCCATATATATATATATATATATATATAAAATAAATACAGTCGATTAGGAGTGAATTGTTAAGGCTAGTCTATTAGTGTCTGTCCGCCCGCTTAAAAGCACATATACAACCACTTAGCGTCCAAGATTATTATACAGGTTGGTAGTTATTTAGGCTAATCATCTTTAAAACATGGAATGAACCTGTGCTGCGATTCCTCTTCTTCGAGCCATGGAACATATATATCTCTCGCTCTCGTCAAAGGATAAAGTGAGGACATCCGATCCGACATGACGTCCAAGCCTTAAGACTGATGACATCACAATCAATAACAAGAACTCCCTTAAAAACTGGCCCTGAGCCACAGAGAGGGGAGTGTTCCAGTTCCGCAGTGTTAGGTAGAACCGTGTTCATTAGGGCACACCGTAGCAAAAAAAAAACGTTTCAAAGCGGAAAACAAAATCGACTTTCTTATTGGACAATTACAGAGAGTCCCTCCCTGTTTTGGAGAATTTTCTTCCATTTCGAGCCTACTGAACACAACCCTTGACTGTCTCTGGTCGCATCCCAAATGGCACCCTATTCCCTATATAGTGCACTACTTTTGACCAGGGCCCTATGGGGAATAGGGTGCCAATGTGTTCCCTCACTCTCCTGTCTCCTACTAGAGGTCCCCAGGTTTCTGGTGGCAGGTGTTGCAGACGCGCACCGGGTGGTCCCAACCCCTAGAGGGCACCGCTCTGCGTTCAGGGGAGCAGTCGTCACACACGCCCTGGCCGCAGGCCCTGCAGTGGTGGATGGAGAGACGCGGGGCGGAGAAGTCTCTCTGACACTCACAGCAGCACCGGATGTCCTGGTCAGGAACCCAGTAGGCTGGACGAGCTGCATCCTTCACCAGGCCTGGAGAGAAGGGGAGCGGAGAGGACCGGAGAGAGGGAGCAGAGAGGACGAGAGAGGGGGAGCGGAGAGGACCAGAGAGGGGGAGGGGAGAGGACCAGAGAGGGGGAGGGGAGAGGACCAGAGAGGGGGAGGGGAGAGGACCAGAGAGGGGGAGGGGAGAGGACCAGAGAGGGGGAGCGGGGAAGGACCAGAGAGGGGGGAGCGGAGAGGACCAGAGAGGGGGAGCGGAGAGGACCAAGAGGGAGAGCGGAGAGGACCAGAGAGGGGAGCGGAAGAGGACCAGAGAGGGGGAGCGGAGAGGACCAGAGAGGGGGAGCGGAGAGGACCAGAGAGGGGGAGCGGAGAGGACCAGAGAGGGGGAGGGGAGAGACCAGAGAGGGGGAGGGAGAGGACCAGAGAGGGGGAGGGGAGAGGACCGGGGAGGGGAGAGGACCAGAGAGGGGGAGCGGGGAAGGACCAGAGAGGGGGGAGCGGAGAGGACCAGAAGAGGGGGAGCGGAGAGGACCAGAGAGGGAGAGCGGAGAGGACCAGAGAGGGGGAGCGGAGAGGACCAGAGAGGGAGAGCGGAGAGGACCAGAGAGAAGGGGAGCGGAGAGACCAGAGAGGGGGAGCGGAGAGGACCAGAGAGGGGGAGGGGAGAGGACCAGAGAGGGGAGCGGAGAGGACCAGAGAGGGGAGGGAGGAGAGCACGAGAGGGGGAGGGGAGAGGACGAGAGAGGGGGAGCGGAGAGGACCAGAGAGGGGGAGCGGGGAGGACCAGAGAGGGGGAGCGGAGAGGACCAGAGAGGGGGAGCGGAGAGGACCAGAGAGGGGGAGCGGAGAGGACCAGAGAGGGGGAGCGGAGAGGACCAGAGAGGGGGAGCGGAGAGGACGAGAGAGGGGGAGCGGAGAGGACCAGAGAGGGGGAGCGGAGAGGACGAGAGAGGGGGAGCGGAGAGGACCAGAGAGGGGGAGCGGAGAGGATGAGAGAAGGGGAGAGGCGTTTTCATACTGGCCCCGTGTAGCTCAGTTGGTAGAGCATGGCGCTTGCAACGCCAGGGTTGTGGGTTCGTTTCCCACGGGAGGGCCGCTATGAAAAATGTATGCACTCACTAACTGTACGTGGCTCTGGGTAAGAGCGTCTGCTAAATGACTAAAAATGTAAAATAATGTAAAAAATGAGACGACGCAGGCAGACACGTCAGTTTTGGGAGGACATGGCTATGTCAAAGTGACCCATCCATCACAGTTCTCTGTCGTAAGCCTCTATTAAAGCTGCAATATGGAACTTTTTGGGTGACCCGACCAAATTCACATAGAAATGTGAGTTATAGATCTGTCATTTTCATTGAAACCAAGTCTAAGAAGCGGTAGATCTGTTCTATGTGCGCTATTTCTATGCTTCACGTTCTTAAGTTTCGTTTTTTGCGTCTTTTACTTTTGGTTTTCTACACCAGCTTCAAACCTCTGAAAATACAATCTTTTGGGTTATGGAAAATATATTTTTAGATGGTACAATGATTTTCTACACAATGACTGCTTGTTTTGTCACATACACTGAACTTATGCAAACTATTAGAATTTTAGCAACCAGGAAATGGCTGAGTGATTTCTGCATATTGCACCTATAAGCCTTTTAAATATTTTAAACCTTATATCTCTTATTGACACTCAGTGGCCAGTTTATTAGGTACACCACCCCGTTCACGAAAATGATTCGCTCCTACAGACAGTGAGTCACGTGGCCGTGGCTTGCTATACAGTGAATTCGGAAAGTATTCAGACCACTTTTTCCACATTTTGTTACGTTACAGCCTTTTTCTAAAATTTATTAAATTATTTTTCTTCTTCATCAATCTACAGAAAATACCCCATAATGACAAAGCAAAAACAGGTTTTTAGACATTTTTGCAAATATCTTATTTACATTAGTATTCAGACTCTTTGCTATGAGACTCGAAATTGAGCTGAGGTGCATCCTGTTTCTATTGATCATCCTTGAGATGTTTCTACAACCTGATTGGAGTCCACCTGTGGTAAATTCAATTGATTTAACATGTTTTGGAAAGGCACACACCTGTCTATATTTGGTCCCACAGTTGACAGTGCATGTCAGAGCAAAAACCAAGCCATGAGGTCGAATGAATTGTCCGTAGAGCTCCAAGGCACAGATCTGGGGAAGGGTACCTGGGACTGGGAGACTAGTCAGGATCGAGGGAAAGATGAATGGAGCAAAGTACAGAGAGATCCTTGATGAAAACCTGCTCCAGAGCGCTCAGGACCTCAGACTGGGGTGAAGGTTCACCTTCCAACAGGACAACGACCCTAAGCACACAGCCAAGACAAACGCAGGAGTGGCTTCGGGACAAGTCTCTGAATGTCCTTGAGTGGCCCAGCCAGAGCCCGGACTTGAACCCGATCTAACATCTCTGGAGAGACCTGAAAATAGCTGTGCAGCAATGCTCCCCATCCAACCTGACATAGCTTGAGAGGATCTGTAGAGAAGAATGGGAGAAACTCCCCAAATACAGGTGTGCCAAGCTTGTAGCATCATACCCAAGAAGACTTGAGGCTGTAATCGCTGCCAAAGGTGCTTCAACAAAGTACTGAGTAAAGGTTCTGAATACTTATGTAAATGTGATATCAGTTTTTTTGTTTTAATACAATATTTCTAAACACCTGTTTTTGCTTTGTCATTATGGGGTATTGTGTGTAGATTGATGAGGGGAAAAAACAATTTAATCAATTTTAGAATAAGGCAGTACTCACCCAGAGGGATGTATGTAGCAGTGATAACAGAGTAGTCTAGACTACAGTACTCACCCAGAGGGATGTATGTAGCGGTGACAACAGAGTAGTCTAGACTACAGTACTCACCCAGAGGGATGTATGTAGCGGTGACCACAGAGTCGTCTAGACTACAGTACTCACCCAGAGGGATGTATGTAGCGGTGACCACAGAGTAGTCTAGAGTACAGTACTCACCCAGAGGGATGTATGTAGCGGTGACCACAGCTCCTAGTGTATTCTGAACAGCCTCTCCTACTCTCCTACTGAGTGTCCCTCCCTCCTCCTCCTCCAACGCTGCATCCAGCAGCTCTACAACACACACACACACAGAGAAAAAGTAGAAAACAACCACTGATTTATGATGAACATATTATTCATAAGATATGTGTAAGCCAGAAAATAAGAGTAGGAAATCAAAAGAAAAGAGGGAAATTGTCTGTTAACCTGGTTACACGATTTACCGCCTAATTCTGATGTTTTTTTTTTTTTTTTCATTTAGCAGACGCTCTTATCCAGAGCGATTTACAGGAGCAATTAGGATTAAGTGCCTTGCTCAAGGGCACATCGACAGTTTTTTCACCTAGTTGGCTCGGGGATTAGAACCAGCAACCTTTCGGTTACTGGCACAACGCTCTTAACCACTAAGCTACCTGCCGCCCCGATGTTCATGTGGCATCCAGGTTTATCTAAAGAGTATTCTTTAAAGACCTATTGGGACATCATAGGATAACTGTTGAGACATCATGTTTGATATACAACATGTCCTTACCTTCTGAGATGCCCCGGTTATGGAAGCAGGCGTCACAGACCCGTACGGGGGCGAGCCCCCAGCCCCTCTCTGGAACAGGACGGTTCATGGAGGAGCAGCCGTCACAGAAACCCTCTCCGCAGGCACGGCAGTGGTGCTTAGTATCGTTGTCCTGGAACACCTCACTGCACTTAGCACATTTCTGTTACAGAGACACAGAGAGCACAGGAGACAGATTATATCACAGGCTCAAAACACAATCACACATAAGAGCAATGGATAGTCTTTACACAGTTATAAGATCAATGGATAGTCTTTACACAGTTATAAGATCAATGGATAGTCTTTACACAGTTATAAGAGCAATGGATAGTCTTTACACAGTCAT